CCGCCGGCCGGGGGCAGCTCTCGCAGCCTCCCCGTTTCGGGCGCCAAAACCGGGGAGGATCGGCAACGTGGAGACGCGGCGCCCGCCCGCGGCGCTCCTCACCCTTCCGCCAAGTTTTCGGATCCCCACGGCGCCTTCTGGTTTTTGGGGTTCCCCCCCCCCGCAAAACCCTCTTGTAATAAACGCTCTCTCTGGGTGTTCTTCACGCGTGGAATAATTTCGGGGCTGATTCGCCAGGACACAGATGACATCTTTCAGCCCGTCTAATTTAATATTAATAATTAACTCCGTAATGCACTTCTGAAATGTAATTCTCAAGTGCTTTGTCAAACGCTTGTCTTCATCAGTGAGCTTCCTTTTTTTTTTTTTTTTTTAAATAATCTCCTATTTTGGTTATACTTTCAGTTAAGTTCTTATCTCTTGACCCAATCTGGAAAATGGGAAACCGGTGGGTGCGGGGGGGATTTTGTTTTCTGCCAGTTAGCAAAGACCTCTTTCATGAAACTGTTTTATTATTATTATTTTTAAAGTAATACTTTGCTTTTTGTTTTCTTTGGACAGTGTTAATGTGCCGAGGGAAGGCAACGCAGGATTTTAAAGGTCCAGATTGTCGCTTTGTAAATTTTAAGAAGGGGGAAGCGGTGTACGTATATTACAAACTAATAGGAAAATCAACCGAGCTCTGGGCTGGAAGTGTAAGTACTGTAAAGCATTTCTTCTGTTTGCTCTTCTTGGCGCTTTCTGTTGGAATCCTTTTTCCTTCCTTTTGCCCTGTAGAAGAACACTTAGGGTTTTGAACGTAGCTAAATAACATAATGAATGCCATTTTATCTTGAGACCAGTGTGAAAGGGGATGCGGTTTGATCAAACCTAAGGCATTAAGTGCTGTGAAAAAAGGGCAACGCTAATGTGTGCTAAAAACTGTTAGAAAACTGCCTTTCTGTTGAAAACCTCCCGTCGCAGCACCGTAAGTGGTAGCCCACGAGCCTGCCGGGAAGCTGAGCCTCCCTTCCCATCTGAGGAGGCTTAAGCCTGTGCTTGTGTTTACCCTGACTGTGGTCTCGTACCGCAATCTGTGTAATCCTGCTAAAAATCATTCCATGCACGTGTTTTAATCGCGTCTCTCTTCCTAATATTCAGCTGCTGTCTTGCCCTTTTTATCTAAGCTGCGTGCAGAATCGGAGGAAAAAAAAGTAGTAAAACTAAAAAGAATTAAGGTAAATACAACTTTTAAAAGGTCTGTCTCTCTTTCAGCTTTAGTAACTCATTGTAGCGGCTTGCAGAGTCGTGGCCTTGTCTGAGTTGTTGTCTTCTTTGGACAATCAAGAGAGGGTTAATGGGAAAGGAGGGTCCCCGTACTCGCAGTTATTTCATAGAAAACTTCTCTCGGCTTTCATGATAAACACCTTATTTCCCTGACAGAAGCAGAACTGAGATACCCTGGCAGAAGAGCAATTTTTGTGGACTTCCCTTGAAAATGCTGGCAGTCTGGTGGTTGCTTAGCCCTAGTCCCTGTTGCCCCCTCCCCGTGTTTCTCTTAGGTACCTTTCTGTGCCTGAACCATTTATTTCAACCTCCTTTCTCACTCTGGTCTTCTACAAGGGATAGACAATTGCCTGCGGCAGTGGTCTGGGCTGCTCGAAGCCGCGCCTGGGTGTTGACTGTGGGACTAGTGGTTTAGTGAAAAGCAGGATGTATCACTTTCTCTAACCTGTTCAGGCTGGGTGTGGGCAGCCGAGCTCTCAGCAGGAGCTGAATCCAATTAGAACGATAGAGAAGAGAGCAGAAAACTACAGCGCGTGGTTAAAGAAGAGTTTATAATTGTATCATGCTGGTAATTCCCTTCTGACATGTACTGTACCATAAATAATCTGATTAATTAGCCGGTACAGGTTTCCAGGGCTGCCAGTTCTTGAGACGCGGAGTAGCAACGTGGGGCCAATTTTGCATCTTCTAACAAGGTGTAATGCAGGCTGCAAGATCAGACAGCAGGTTTAAGGTAATTGCTGAGTTAATATTCAGTTTAACTGTTCACTGATAGGAAGCTCATGCAACAGTTAGGTGTGTCTCCAAGTTAAAAGGATGTTTGCTTTGACACGTAAAAGCTGAAGTTGGCAGGTTTAAAGGAATTGCAAAGCTCCGTTTTATTTGTTGTCATGTTTTACTCGTGTCACACTATTTTCTATGCTCCTTTTAGGGCAGTGATGACAGACTAATTTCTTTCAGTTGGTGGCTATAATCCTTATTTCTTTTTTTGCCCGGTTTATTTGACAGCTTCTGCATGAATCGTAGTACTGCAGCAAGCAGTTTGCAAACGCTGCGGCAGGGTCAGAGGTGCCTACCCTTGCACGTCGAGTAGAGCACTGGCATAGTCTGGCCCTGTCCCCGACTTGCAGGTAGCGCTGGGGTCTCTCTCGTGCAGCGTGACTTCCCATGCCAGATTCGGCTGGGCAGCTTGATTTATGCAGCCCAGCCGTGCCTGCTGTGTGCAGTCTTGGAGCTAGGGGGAGGCTGTTGCTTGCTAATTAAAACCAGGCTACCTAGCGAGGTCCACGTTCAAACAAATTCCAGTGGAAGGCACGTTACCTTCTGCCGCAGCCCTTTTGGGATTTCAACGCGTGACTTTGTGTGCTCGTGTGTGTCGCTTGATCTTGTGCATCTACCCTACTGCCTTTTTCCATTCCCCAAAGTTTTGGGGGAAAGTAATTGCTAGGGCATAATGGCAACTAAGAAATCAAGGGATAATTGGCATTCTGATCTTTAGGTGGGGACAGAGGTTAGGGGAATGTGTGTATGAGATGCTTCAACTACTGCATCCTGGGGCTTATTTCAAACAAGTTGTAAATACAGGCTCTAATCCTGAAATCGATTTTGAGGACCCATGAGAAATACAATATTATTTTGACCTGAAGGGAAATGATCTGATAAGAATGGAGACTTTCACCAGGGCTGAAAAATCTATAGCAGTTGGGTCTGGGCTTTATTTGCCTTTGCTTTTCTAAATTTACTCTGCCCTTTTCAAGCCATTGTTGATTTTTTTTTTTTCCCCTGTGCCAGCAAACATGCTGTATTTTAACAAAATAGATCCTTTATTTTATGATCCCAGTCTTGTATACTTTACTGTTTGCAGAACTCCCATTGAGCTCTGAGTATTTTGCCCGTGAAAAAATTCTGAACCCAGCTATAATATATATTCCATACATTATATGGCATGCAGTTTTTAGCAGAGCTGTCTAAATCTCGTTAATAAAGCAAAGCCAAATGCTTGGCAATATTCTAAGACCATTATTTAATAGTGATTTTATGGTATGAATTTCACAAATATCTCAGTTCCAGGAAAATACTTGATTTTTTTCTCAAAGCTGAAAGGTGGAGCACGTCTGGTACTCTCATTGTCCAATGCACCCTGTCCCGCTCTAAAACTGGTCTCTTCTTCAGCATCCACCTCGCATCATTTACGCCATCAAGTTGTGTTATGTAGACTTTTCTCCTGTGCATTTCTCCTGCACTCTGCCCTCATCTTTAGCAGGGTCCAGAACTCCAGAACTACTTAAGATAATTCAAGTAAAAGCTGCTGCTTTTTAACAAAACATTTCAGCAAAGACACTGTAAATTCTTGCTGCAGAAGATTGTTATTTTATCGTGCAGCAAAGGGCTGAACTTTATTCCTTTGATTCAAGGTTGAGAAAACTATTTCTGACCTCATATTACAAGAAATGGACTTGGCTGCAGATCATGTTTTTTTGGGGTGGTTGGTTACTTTTTGGTTTGTTTTCAAATCTTACATACAGGGTAGTAAAAAGGGAGACAGGGTGGGGTAAATTTAAGGTAGGACAGAGTATGTCTGGAGGACCCAGAGGATCAGGGAATTTGTTCCTATTGTTTCTGTGTTTTCTTAATGATGCCAGCGTTCAGAAAGGGCTGACCAAACCAGCTCCCTCCTTGGACCGATGTTCTGCAGTTATAGGTACCGGTGATGCCCGTGCTTTAGGGATGTGGGCTTTCAGATTAGAAACATTTGAACACCTTGTTTCCCAGCTGTCTGTTTTCTGTCACTGAGGTAGGAGTTGTGAGAAGCTGGTTTCTTTGTCGGTGGTGGTCAGTGACCCTGCTGCAGCTGGCTGCCACACGTGGGGAGAGATGCTGTACCCCCAGCTACGTGTTTTGTCCACCCACGGCATTTTAACTGGGGAGGGAGTGGAACTGAAGGATGTGCTTTTTTCTCCCGTGTTTACTTGGCATTCGTAATGCCTTTCCTCTGTCGTGTCTGTGGAGAATGAAGAATGTTTCCTTTATTTGCACAATGGGGCATTTTTTCCCTTACAAGAGAGGACTTGTAGGGAGAGGAGCAGATGAAATTTTGGGCACGCAGATCCCATATGGCTTGTAAACCACATAAGTAGCAAACTGGGTCACTGCAGAGGACTTGTATGGTCAGCAGCTTGGATTACACTAAATGAGTTTCAAATTGTGATGCCTAATTATAATGGTAGTCACACAGATTAGTCTGTAAGGAGGGTACTTTGAAGCTTTGGCTTTTGTTTTCAGAAAGATCATTTAAAACTGGCATAGAAGTTTGTAGAGAGAAACAGGCCAATTTAGAATAAAACTGTAGTATACCACACGAGCTTTTGATTTTACTTGTCTAGTTTAATTTCCCACGCCAAATAATTCCCAATAATAAACCTGCATACATTATATCTTTTCCATATGAGAGTATCTCTATGTGTATACAAAAGGTGGGGAGGTAATAGATTTATTTTTTTACCTTTGTATAACTAACTTCAGAGATCTCAACTATGGAAGGTAAGATTTGAATGAATGAGAAATAGTTAAAAAAGGAAGCCCCAAAATGTATCGATGCTTACTTTGCTTGCATAACAAAGAAAAAAAGGTATTAGTACGTATTATTTGCCAGATACAACTTTCCTTTTTTTTAATGCCATTGTAAATCCAGAAAACTTCAGGTTAGGTGAACCTATTTCAGTGATACCAGTGTAACCATACATATACCTATATATCCCTAATTATTTTGACCCATAACTGGCTTCCTTTTTAATCTGATCTTTAACTGAGTGCTTTTCCCAAATAAACTTTTCAAGAAAATTGGCAATTGTCGTCTTCCTCCCGTAACAAAACATTGAGGAACTGACCAACACTTTTTGTTTTTCCCCCGGATATTTTCGTTGTCTAGGAACTCTGTATCTTTCTAGGTGTGTCCACCAGGCTCTAATTGCCTGGATTATCTAATCTGCACAGTGATAGCATGCTATTAATATTGGCTTCTTGACAGCAATTGTCAGAACTCTCAAGTGAGAGCATTACTGTGTAGATCTTATCTGGTGAGTGATAAGAGAGATTCTTGTCTTCCACTGTTTGCCTTGGCTTAGCATGTTGACTTGCCTGAAGATAGCCATCTGCAACTGATTTTTGCTTGTATTAGTCACTGAAGAGCAGTGCAGAGGGGATATGTTTTCCATACAGGTTTTAAAATAGATTATTACCTCAGATACAATTTTGCATTTTCCTAAAATCTGCTTTAAGAAATTTATTTTTTTTCCTTAAGCTACAAAGTGAGCGTATTTCAGGCTGTAATATTGTGCGTGGATGTAAATCTTATTAGTCAAAGATCCTCTTCTGCTTATGACTTGAGAAAATACTTGAGGCATATGCAGTGCCCGTGAGAGCGCACAATAGCAGTTAAAGCACGTGAGCCAGAATGCTTGGGCTTCACTCCCAGCTCTCCTAATAATTTGTTGTAAGTCAGGCTTTAAAACACGAACAGTAAAATTTAGCAACCTCACAAAGGTGTTGTGAAAAGTAAGTATAAAACCTCAGCGAAAGCTCTTGCGTAAACAAGGCATTGCTAATATTTTTCTTTTATTCACTGTGTTACACTTCATCTAGAAATACTTGAGAGTGAGTTTGATGTGTTTGTTACTAGTGTCTGTAATTAGGATTTTAGCATAGTCACATGATTTCAAAAGCTTCTTTACTGCTTTTTGTTTGCTTGTGTTTGTTTTCTGGCAGGTTGGAAGTGATTTTGGATATTTTCCAAAGGATTTACTTGAAATAAATCATAATTATTCCAATGAGGAGCTAGAGTTACCAACAGATGTAAGTCTTATTTGTTATTTTTTTAATTGGGCCGCTTACTGTTTCTTACTTTGGCATTCAATAAAATCCCTGAGGGAATGGGAATATCAGTGATCCTTAGATACCTTTTATTAGTAAGCAGCTACATATGTGCAGAGATGCACATGTCTGTCGGGGAGTGGAATGTTTGTGCAGATAGGTATGTGGATGGGTGTGTAAGCATCAGCCCAAAATGTGGGCATTGATCTTTCTTTTCTTGAATATTCTGGTTTTCTTCTAACAAGATCTGTTTGGATTGAGCTCTAGAAATGCTGCTAGCTGGCTCGCAAGTGGGCTGTTTGGTATGTATTCAGAATTATTTCTTCTCCCAAACTTTAGAAGTTTAAAGTATTATCAGAAACAAAGAAAACCTGATAGGCTGTTAGCCCTTTGATTCTAGAATTGGTCCTTCCACCCTTACACACATAAATGGCTTTCATGCACTAATAGCTAGTAACTCCAGAGCTGGGTGAGTAAGGCCTGTTTGTGGATGCAGCTTCAGACCCTTATGAAATCGTATTCAGTGGCTTGCGCTGCTATTTAATTTATTTTTCAGAAATTGTGTGACCAGCAGCTCCTGCTTGGAGGACTTGGTCATTTGAGGAGAGACCAGCTAAAAGCGATTGGGACAAACAAGCTTAGTGATGCTTGTTTCCTTCTCCTCACTGGCATTCAGCAATGGACTTGTTCTTAATTCAGGATGTATGTGAAGAGTATGTTATAATACCGTCAACTGCATTGCTGACCTCCAGTTTGTTCCTCGCTAGGAGGTCTTTGATGGGGGTAACACACGAGCTTTTTATTTAGGTTTTTAAGAGACCTTGGGCAAAATTTCCACTGATTTCAAAGAGAGTTCTGGTTAAAGACGAAAGGAGTTAATTCTGGACGATTGATATAATTTACTTTGCTGCTGCATCTCTCTCTAACCAACCAAATGGGTTTGGTCTCATCACTGTAATAAAGAAAATAATATTTGTTGCTACATATTCTTTTTCATTTCAGGAAACAGACTTTGTTTGCTTTGATGGCGGAAGGGATGATTTTGATAATTATAATGTGGATGAGCTTTTGAAGCCATTGCGAGAGACAATAGCAAATGAAGGGGAAACTGAATCAAGTGATCCAGGGACAAAACCAGCTGAAGGAATTGAAAGGGATGAGGAGACTGAACAGGTCGATACAGTAAAGTCCCTTGGTGCTTTGGAGACAGACAATCTTGAGCTAAGCACAGAAGACGACGACAAGGAAGCCCTTGCCATGACAGAGGAAGAAGACAGTTCTCTTACAGAAGGAACTGAAAATACTGGGGGAGACTCCAGTGTCAATAGTCACGAAGAAAACTCTCAGGGAGATCAAATTGCACATGAGCACTTGAAAGGAATGCTACATGGGAAACTGAAAGGGCTAGAAAGTGAAAATACCAAAAACACTAGTATTCCTCAGGGTGAAACCAGTCAACTTGACAAAGAGGGTGAAGAAGTCAATGCCTATACACTTTTAAACAGAGAACTCTCTGTGAACTTGAAAACAAAATTTGGCTCAACTGCTGATGCTGTTGTATCAGATGATGAGGTGACTGGCCTTGTTACATCGCTGGAAGATGATTTTAATGAAGATTTGAGCATTAATACTCATGATGCAGAGGAGGAGCCAGACTTTGCAGATCAGTCTGAAGAAATCCCTTTGCTGTCTTTTACGGCAGAGGAAGAAACTACATCCCCAGTGGATTTAGATGATGATGAAAATGGTGACATTGAGTCACAAAATCATGAACTTGATGAAGATGCAAAGGGTGCTACAGAGCTAAATAACCAAAGAGACAATGAGGAAGAACACGATTCAGATGCATCAGTTCTTAAGGATGCCTTCAGTAAGAGCAAGAAGTCGGGTGACAGTGTAAGTGTGGACAGGTTTGAATCTCAACAAACAAAAGAGAAACAGGATGAGGTGATGCTAGTTAGTAAAAGAGAAGCACCAGCAACAACTCAACCTGAGGATCTCTCCAAAGAACTCCTTAGAAAGGAATCTGTAGGTGGCGGTGATCTAGATTCAAAAGAAAAAACAACCACAATGGAACAGTTTGAAGAGCAGCTTATGGTTGATGGAACTGAGTCACTTACTGAAGAGCTGAAGAGTACAGCTGTGCCTGATCCTCATGTTTTGCCTAGTCCAGAAGATGCTCTGGAGTCCAAATCATTGGTTAAAAGCAAGCAAGATGCTTTAAAACCACCTGTTGGTGATATCAACAGAAGTCGAGAAAGAGTGCCGCTTGCTCAAATAGAGAAAGATGAGGAAAAGTTTGAGGATGACACCTTGGAAGACGTCTTGGAAAGTGATTTAAAGCACAAAAAGTTATGGGAGAAAACAAAGGAGAAAGGAAGAGCTGAGGACAAGCCTTCTGTTGATGTTCCAGCCAAACCAGTGGAAGAGGTAAAAAATGCATCTCAACGTGACTTAAGAGATACTGACCTCTTAAAAGAGAAACCGGAACATGGAATGCCCGCTGTGGAGAAAGAGCTTCTAAGAGATGAAGAAGAGTTGAAACAAACAGAGGAGACCGATCATGAAAATGAAAAAACCACCTCTCTTAACAAAGAACCTGAACTAAAAAGGGGAAACACGAAAGAAACTCCTGCAGAGGAGGGAGACACAAGCTATAGAGGAGCTGTCAAGCAACCTAGGCCATGGGAAAATGAGACTGAGTATTCAGAAGCAGATGTGAAAGAAGAGCTTTCAAGAAATCTTGGCAAGATGACAGCATTTGAAGAAAGCGTTGAGAAAAGTTCCCCTGAAGAAAAATCAAAAAGCACTACACAGAATACTAATACAGAGAATCTTACTCAGCAAGGAACTGCTCGTACTGAGGGCGCAGATTCAGACAGAAATCTTGGCAGAAATTTTTCTCAAGAAAAAAGCCTAAGACCTGAATTGCAATCTGAAGAGCCAGATGCTGAAGATGACCCTGACCTGAAACAAGTAGAAGAAGAGCTACTGGAAGATGAGAATGCTGCGAGTGCAAAGCTGTCACAAGCAAAGGCTGCATATATACAGGGCGATACACTAAATGTTAAAAGTGCACACCCCGAATTAGAAGGACTAAGTGAAGCTGTTTCGGGAACTGCAAATCCTACTTACAAAACAGGAGAGGAAACAAACTCATTTTCTAAGGAGGCTAAAGAAACGATCAGCATGCAAGATGCAAGCGAGACTGGGAACAAAGAGGTTGATGTACCAGTGAGTGAAGATGCTAAATTGGATGAGATAGAACGTGTCATGGAAGATGATGAGGAGTCTTCTGAAGCTGAGGAACCATCAGCTGTGGAAGAACATAATTTCCAATCTCCTGACACGGAAGACAACAGTGACCTTAACCAAAGGAAAGGTCGTCTCCCAGAGGGCATTTCACAGAAAGACTCAACAGACGTGCAAAATTTAGAGCATAGAAGAAACGACCACCAGCAATCTGCACATTTCCCCAGCCCTGCTGACAGCTCAGCAGCCACAAATGACACTGTAACAGACTTCAGTGAGTCTGTGAAGCGGCTCACAATAATGAGGTATTTTCTTGATGAAAAGCGTATAACACGTCTACAAAAGTACCTTGGGCTTCAGCACATGGTTAGGATAGAAGCCATGTTTCACGACATGAAGGTAGAGATGGAGCTTGCTCAGAAGGCAAGCCATAATAACGAAGATATAGAAAAAGCTTTGGACCAGATACTTGAGTTTTCAGAATCGAGCATTATGGATGTTGTAGGAAAAGTTCTGGATTCCAGAGTGGCAGAAAATAAAGAGGAGGTGGTGAAAGAGATGGATTTGTATGATGAGGAGAGTGCACTGATGGATGATATTCAAGAATTAATCTATTCTTTAAGGAGTAAATATTCGTCTGCTAGTGAGAGTGTCCCACTTGCATCTGTTCCAGAACAGGAAGATGATCAGCTGCACGTTCAAGGTAGGATGTTAAACCAGTTAATAAATAGATGAAATGGAAGTAAAACCCTATCCCAGACAACACTATGTAACCCAGAGAAGCTTTCAGAAGAGGGTGAGGGAGCAGAATTGAAAGAGGCCCTGCGGAATCTGCTGGGATTTTGCATATTTGTAATGCATATTTTTGGCATTGTGACGGGTGGCCCAGGGTCAAATCCAGAGAGAAAATGTTGAGCTCAGCATGTCTGTTCTTATGGGCCAGGTTCTGTGTAAGATAAGTGGGATCCGTGCATGGATATGGCTAGGAGGAGCCATTCAGGTCATGTCTATACCTCCTTCTCTCAGGAAGTAGGGATTCACATATACTAATGTGCGGAATTTTCTGGAGGGTTTAGAGCAGTCTTTTTTTTCCTGAACTAGCTAGCACCTAATTATGAGACATCCAGTGATTAATGCAAAGTTCAGGCACTAAATCCATGCACCTAAAATCTCAGGTGTCCCAATCATCATATTTTTGCCCACATTCATCAAAGAACGCGTAAGCAGAAATACTGAACAAACAGATCTTTTGTTGGGGGAAGAACCAGCGGTAGAGTCTACTCCAAACTTGCTGTTTTTTCTAATTAATGTGCAAGGTGGTAAGATATGCTCCTAGCAAGGCTTCTTTTACAGTAGTACATGTTAAGTATGTGATTTCTGATAGTAGCGAGTGATGAAAATATTTCACCTTGCAGTATTTCACCTTGCAAGGTGAATGGTTGATACCTTGCATAAATTTGATATAAACGTTTAATTAGATGTTACTGAAAGTTGATGGAGAATATATTGGAAGCAATACACAGGCTGAAGTGTTTAAAAAGTGTCAGGAAAGCTTTGTCAAATGCAGTATTTCACTGGAGACAGCTGTGGGTAAGAAACACATGTTAGCTCAGTGCTTAATTCATGTCTCCCTATCTGTCACAGATGTTGCAGAAGAGGCTGAATATGACAGAGTTTCCATCAGAAACCCAAATGCCATTGATGAGAGCAATTGGGAATTTCAGCAGCTTAAAGATAAGAGGCCAGAACAGCCTGTTGAGGAGGAGGAGGAGGAGAGGGCTGTTAATGTTCCACCTGAGCATGAAGAGGCCAACTTCTCGGATAACAGAGAAGCTGAAGAAGGGTATGATAGTGAAAGAGGATTGCTGCTGGAAGATACTTCCTTTGGCTCAATTGATTCAGGACAGAGTGCCAGGGAAGATATTGCTGCAGGTAACCTTTTGGAATTGGGTTATTTTGTTCTTTTGCTCATAAAAAGGAGTATGGTTGAATGGTCTTCAGGTAGATACCAAGGTTTTTCACTAATATTTTCATTGTATATTGCTGTAATCCTAGTGGCTTTCACTAATCCATGACAGTCCCTCTAGTGGCAGTATTGTATCGCTACCACTCATCTCAGCAGAGAGGTTTTCTACTACCTTTTTGCACTACAGAAATAAGAGAAGTTCTCCTGTAAGTGTCATAGTCAGAGCTCTGTGCTCGGGCTGGTGGACTGTGTCTCAGGATGGTAGTGGATAAAGAGCAGGAATCACTGGAAGCATACCATCAGCCCAGGTTTCCTCCTACTTGCAGGGGGACTGACAGTCTAGCCATTAGGCTATAGAATCATGCGTGCTCTCTTCTTGCTTTTTTTAACCTGTGACTCTGGGCTATATTACCTTCCAGGAAAGATGGAGTGTAACTTCCCTCAAGCAGTTCAGTAATTTCTGGCTAAGGTGTTTGTTGAAGTAAGAGAAGTGTTTGACTCTGTTCTGCTGAGGCCTCCTCCCTCTGGAGCAAGTGTGCTGATGTGTGCTGACTTGTCATTATGCCAAGGAGGGACCCCATTACCGTCATCTCCCCCAGCTCTGTTTTGGCATGAAACTACCTTTGACTCCATTCTCGGTGCTAAGCTCATCTTTGCTGTTCTGCATTCACCTCTGATTATGTTTAATAAATCTGTCTTCACTGAGCATTTAGAAAAAACTGAGGCACATCTAGCTTTAGCTTTTGTACGCTACTGAGGTGCTGTACCATCCCCATAGCCAAGCACTTTTGAGCAGCTTCTAAGTTCTGAGGGAAACTCTAGGTTGAATGCAAAGCTACCGAATGAATTTTAAATGGCTGGTGGATTGCTTATGTGGTTAAGCAGTCGGATGTTCAGTTGTATTTTAGACCGTCTTACGTTCCTTCCTTAATGGTGGTTAGGTGCTGTTTGGTAGGAATTCCTATGAGGACTGCTAGAAGTGCTGAGAAGAAACAGGGCAGATGTTTGTAGAACCGCTGGCCGCAGAAGCTGTTCCACAATGTAACAGCAGGCTGGGCGAGTGGGTATTTGAACCCGCTAACCTGAATTCATGGCAACAGTAGCAGTGAGAGGAGAAGGCAGGCTTCAGATCAGGGTAGGAGGAAAGATCGTTTAAGGCTTATGCTGTACTAACAGTGCTGTAAACTTATTAGAAGAAGTAGGTTTATTGATTAGGAATTGAACACTGTGTGCTGCTTTGCTGTTGTTGACTTGCTGCTGAAGATGTTGTATGTGCTCTGCCTGAGGCAGGCTCGGCAAAGCGACTTGGCGTACCTGCGCCCCTCTCTGTGGCTCCTTTTCTAAAGCAGCCTGTGGAATATCGCTGCCCTTTCTCAGGACTTTGGCCTCTTTCTTCAGTGCCCTGGAGAAGCAGGGCCCGTAATGTGAAATCTCGCCTAAGATGCCGCAGAAACCGCGGGGGGCGGGGGGGGGGGG